TGGAAAAGCAACACTGAAAAATAATTTTACTTAAACTCAGCTTACTGCCTGCATTCTATGTAGAATAGAAACAAGATTTTTCCTTATTTCTCACATTATGAAATGTATAAGAGACCTGTGAACTAATACTGATAACACTGATAGGAGCTCCAGAATCATTTTAAATTTTTTTGAACTTTTTAGTGTTAAACAAAACCTACTGGATAATTATTGAGAAATACAGTTTGTATAAACATTGTCCTCGTATTTCTTACTCAATTATAAGCATTTTGATGCTAAGGAAAGTTGTTTTTCAAGTCCATAAAATCCTTCAAGGCCCTTATTATGCACACTTGTGCTCCATAAATGCTTGTTAAATAAATGAATGCATACATATGAATAGATTCCATTTACATGGAACTTATGGAAATCAAAGTGCAAAGTATACATACAGTACAGAACAGCTAATGGGTAGTTCTGTAAACTTTGTTTACAATAACAAATGAAAAGAAAGGTTTGCAACTAGCCACTTTGCACCTTCAGCATAGCTGGGAAAAAAAATCAGACTATAACGTTAGCCCCATAAAACACATTTACTTCATGTGACATTTCTATAGCAATCAAGGTCTTTGTGACCTTTACACAGATGCCAAATGAGAAGAGTTTTTAATTGACTACTTTGCTACTCCCCAGCATAGAACCCACAGGCCTTCATTTTAAGTTATAAAACTTGTCTGTCATTATGTCATTCCTTCAGTATTCTGGATTTTGACCTAGTCTCCCAAGTGACAGGTTATTCCAAGATGGTAATTGAGAGTCTTAGGGAGGAACCATTTTTCTTTCATTCCATTTTAAGGTAATACACTTATTGCTAAGGTGACCTGAAAGAATACATGAATCCCCTTTAAACATCAAGCTTATTATTAGGGAGTAACAAGCACCAAGGAGCTCAAAATCTACAAGGTACTCACTTTACTTCTTAAACATCCATTGCCTTTATTCTTGTTACTGAATAGCATCTTCGCACTAAATTGCTAGTACATAGTTTTCATCTGTCACAATAACTGGGCTCTGCTATAACAACTGCCTTGGTGAGAGCAGCAATTGTGAAGTT